GAATATAAACGACAAGCAGCGAGAGCTTTCTGCGAGTAAACATAAACCAGCGGGGGTTTAACAGGAAGTAGTGTATTCGAGCATTATCATAATTCTAATCACAGTCACGCTATCTCAATAAAAAAAAAGAAAACGAGCGTGCGGCATCTAATCTCCGCGCTTCCTCGCTATCTTGTATCTCTCTTAGGCTCGGAAATATCTGCGGGAAGAGCATAGCTCTTCCTGAAGAGAGCAGCAGAATGAGAGAGGCACTACCTTCCGGAACTATTCTTGGCTCGCGAGGAGATCGCGGCGGAGGAGGAGGAGGCGGCTGCGACGCCGATGCTTGTGGAGGTGATCTGACCGTTGCTCGACACCCTGGGTTGTCGCGGAGGCGGCGATCCATTCGTGGGCGTCGAGCTCTCGGACGAGAGGCCGGAGTCGTCGCGTCCATCCTCGGCGCCGCCGCCGGTACCGTTCTCCAAGTTCGCGGGGACGCGAACGCGCGTTGGCAGACCGGTGGTGCGTCTCCGGGCGCCCTTCGAATTCTCGGCCGACGTGGAGGCCATCGTCGATTTGTTCCCTCAATCGGATCGTCGGTCGTTTCCCGGTAATCGCGCGCGAGTCATCGGCCGTCCTGGTCCCGTGCGCTTCACCAAGTCGAACGCGGTTCGCCAAGTCTCTAGCCGAATGAGCGCGAGGATAATCGAATTTCTCGGGAATCTCTCGGGAACTTGTTAAACTTGTTGTTGACTTGAGCAGAAGGAGGAGAACCCAATAGTTTCCTCGTGGATCTCTTCGAGTTTCCTCCTGGAGGAGATTTTCTCGACGTGGCCGAATGGTCATATATCACTGAACGTGACAGTCGGAAAGCTTCAACCGCAGGAATAGGATAATGTAAATAGAAGATGGAGCACGGACGGCATATTTAGCTGGATGGGACGGAATGTGTCGTTTTACGTGTCGACAGAGGACAAGAGGAGGGAAACGTGCAGCAGATTGAGAAGCGAGAGGCGTTAATGGAAGGAGCCTAGTGGAATACGATGAGTAATTCGGTAGACATGCAGTTGCCGCGGTCACTTTCCCAAGTTGCACGTCCGGCTTATACGCGCCGAATTACGCGCGTTCCGCGTTGTGCGTTTCGCAATCCTCGCGCTAAGTTACGCGAATTCGAGCGGTGCCCCGACACGGGGATGCCGTGTTATCCGCTCGCCGATGACATCGCAAATGAAACTGCAAAATGAGATAAACGTAATGTAAACGGCAACTCGCAGACTTGAATCTATGAATAGATGAACGGGAAGAATAAAAAATAAATAAATAAAAAAATAGAAACCCAGTGAACGCGATAGTCAGATCGATTCAGATCGTCACTCGGATAGCGGTAACGCAATATTTTGCGGGTTGACTAACGAGTTCTTTTTTTTTTCTTCCTTTCGATACACCGCAAGTTATTTGCGTTTGTAAATTATCGAATGTGATAGTTAAGCGCGTTGGAAAATTACGTTCCTATTTAATTAGTTTCGCAAAATGAAATAATTAATGTACTTATTTCACATCATCTCATTTCCTCGCAATTTATCGCGTTTCCAATGTAATCCGTTCGTTAGCGCTTCCGTTCCTTCTTATCTTTTTTTTTCTCATTTTCATAACAATCTCAGACTAAGAAGGAGTTGAGTCATCCTATCGAGTGAAAGTTATCCTACCGGAGCGTTTGCTATTTTTCTACCAGAGTGCACGTTTTATCGAACTGAATGATTGTTACACAAGTGCGATTGTCACAAAAGTGTCATCCTAACATTCCACTTTTTCCTGATTTCCCGACAAAATTTTATGATTTTCTCTGATTTCTTTCAATATTTTTCTGTATTTTTGTCTTGATTTGGATGCCGTCAAATATTTTATTGAGACAGCAATTTAATATAGCAATATAAATTACTATTAATATCGTTGATACATTTAAGCACACTGTTTGCATTTAATTATTAGATTTAATTATTAGGTATTCTAAATACGTAGATGTGATAACGCATATTAAACTTTTTTCAATAATTTTAATTTTCTAGGAAATTTTGCAAAAAATTTTCCCCGATTTCCGATTTTGTGGCAGCCCTCAATTATATACTTGATTCCTTTTTTTAAAAGAGGAATACGATTTCCTTTCAATAAATCAATTGATCAAAATTAATTGATTATTATTTAATTTCAGAGGGAAATCAGACTATCCTGTCGCAGGACTTTAAGAGCTTTCGCGCGGCGCAATTTTGACACCACCGACGCTCCGCATGAGCGAGTTTCTGCTAATCAAATTAAATCGATTTATTGTAGAGACTCAGAAAGTATCGGTTAATATTTTATGAGACTATTAATAAACTCTGTGAATCTTAATGCCACGGTTAAATATACGACTGCGACCTCGCGTGTTCCAGTATGACCGTGCTTCGTTTCATCATCGCACTATCTTGAACTGGGAAAGATTCACGTGAACGACGATTCCAGAGAAAAGGCGATAAGGGCCAAGAACACGACTTGGAAACGGTCGCGAACAAAGGAGGACTCAGCGTCGGTGCCGAGTTTCACCTTTTCTACCTGGACTCGGCCGAACTCAACGTCACGCTACGTCCCCTCGCATAATTCATGACAGGCCGGGATCAAGGATTCGCTTCCCGGCGTGGAATCATCGATGCCTGCTGCAAAAACGAGAACTCTCACGATTCACTGGATCTCACACACAAGACGAGTAGA